CCAGTGCAGCTGACAGATAAATTAACCACTCCATAGTTTCTGCTTCACCTACCTCCAGTACGATATTATACATAATGCTCCCTTTCCTCCCAGAAGATATAATAATAGTTCACTGCAGAATGTCTGCATACAGGAGTTGCCTGGGGAGTCAGAAGTACCCTTTCCTTCTTAATTTTCACATGTGTATATATGGCAAATGCCAATTGTTATAAATAAATTTTTGGCACCTGCCATCTTTCATGGGCAGTAGCTGCTATAGAGCAGTGCTGATTTGGAATATTTCTAGCAGTGTTTAAAAATAAACATTGCTATAATTTTTCTTTCTTCTCAGCATTGTAAAAACTAATTACTGGGTCTCCAATTATTGTAAATAATGTGTATTTTAAAACTAGATATTGAACCTACAATGTAGTTGGAAGTGTTCAGTTAATGGTTGGACTTGTTGATGTTTTCCAAGCTCATTGGTGTTTTCCAACCTCGATGATTCTATGATTCTATGATTTTATGACATAAAATCTTTCATTGTGAATATGTCACCTATCCTTGGAGCAAACAAGTGAGACCGTATCTAAGCCCAAGTACACTAAGACAAGTTTGAGACTCTGGGAACTAAAATGTTTGCCTTTTAAATTAGAAGCACAATCAAATACAAATTGACAAATTCCATATGTTTGAGTGGTTATAGTCATGAAATCCATATGCTAGACTTAGAGTTGCTAAAGACTTGCTCTTACTCTTGGGACAAATTATCCAGCCTCCGCACATCTTAGTGTGCCCACCTGCAAAACCACTCCAAAATACTGGTTACATGAAGTTAGAGGAAGGCTGAGGTCTTCAACTACTGTAAAGTACAGAAGTTCAGAGAAGGATGGAGAAATGAGCAATGTGTTACTACACACAAATCATTTGTACAGAAAGAAAATACACATGATTTGTGTAGGAGGCACAAGAAATTTTTAAATTGACATTCTCATATTTCCTGAGCTCAAAATTTTAATCAGAACAGAAAAGATAGAGGAATCACTTGCTTAATAAAGGGCCGTATTTTCACTCAAATAAAAATCCTGTAAATTCAATATAGGGAATATTTTTATATTGTTTCTTTATGTGTGTTAGCAGGGGTAGAGACATCTGAGATGAAGTCTAGACTCTGCAATTCCTTTATCCAGTTATATACACTTGTTATTTGTCATAAGCAATGTTGTTTTTTTTTTCAGAATGCTTGTCCAAGAAGTTTGAAACCATGTTGCCACATGTGTCTTAAGGCAGAATCTCAAGACAGAACAAGCTTTTCCTCACGCGGGTGCCTGTTGCAGAGCCTTTAAAGATATTTTTCTCCTATGGTTAGCTCTAAGAATTCCATACATATAAAGAAACCTAGGAACAAAAGTATAGCAGTCTTTCCAACACTAAAACTATACTAAGGAATGGATTTACCAGGTTTGTAATACTGTGCTCTGATGTTATTTATCAGTATGGTTCCTAAAGGCTTCTATGGAGGGTTGATCTGTTGCTGAATAGTCTATTATACACCTATTTTCCTTAAGCTGCTTCTAAAGCAAACTCATATTTAAATGTCCCTCAATTCTACAAAACAGAAAAGAATATTTAACCTGTATTCCTGTCCTCTTGCAGAATAACAGAATAATAGCAGAAGACAGAAATTCTCTAAGTGCAATTGTTCCATACTTTCACTTAATTTAACCATTTTATAAAAGTTCAGCGCCATTGACACAAATTCAAATAAAATTTTTCAGTTATGGTTATGCATCATCCCCAAGTAAGTTGAAGACAGAATGTCAAGATTCTTAAATGCAAGTTTAAGATACTTGTACTTCTAAAGTCCATCTAATGATATTTGTACTTGATTTTAGTAAGAAAATTACATCTGAATACCCTCTGAGGTAATGCCAAACACCAGTTTATTGTAACAGTACTGTCTCAGGTATCAACAGCAGCCTCTCATAGTGCAAATCCCAGCACAACCTGAATAACCAACCCCTAGGAGTGAGAAATTCTCAGGTTATCAGCTCTCTGTTGCTACTGTAACACTCCTGACCACATAGAGTGGTTAGTTAAGGCTAACCAGTCATGGCACTCATGCATGGATTTTCTCACATTCATTCTTTTAGACCAAAAACCTAATCTAGAGCATAATCAGCAGGGCCACTTTCACTGTCCTTCATCTGACAAGTTCTCTGTGGGAGTTAAAAGAAATGGAGACCAGATCTGGAAAAGGACATTGCACTCAATCAATTTCAATATTTTTTTAATTAGTTATAACAGAGAAAATGCCAGCATGAATACGCTTATTATAGTTTATCATTAATGGGTATGATTTAAACTAGAAAATATAAACTTCTTTTAAACTCCTGTTTCTGAACTGTTATGTCTCTAACAAATGTGCAATAAGGATTGTTTATTCAAGCCAATGCAACCTTCTAATGAAGGTGAGAGCTGGGACAACTCAAAGCTATAAAACATGCTTATAAGAAGCTAATGCCCTTTTTCTGTCCTTCCCAATTAGTGGCATGTTCTAAAGTCTAGGTACCAAATGTAGGCTGCCTGCCCACTCACTTTAAATGAAGCCTTTCTTGTTTCCACACGGTGTAGAACTGCCTCTGTTTCAGCAGCCTGTGTTCCTTATAAAGCGTAGGACGCTGTGATAAATCTCACAACTCGATTCATTAAGAGGGAAACTATATCTCAGTTTGCTCTCTTCTGTTCCATCCAAAGCTGTTATCACTACCAAGCTGCCCTTGGTGTTGGCAATTTCTCTTTTCTGTTCCAAGAAGAGAAGGAAAAGAAACGCTGATTTTCTTTGTCTCAAATCGTTTGCTTAGCTGGATGCAAGTTTGATATCCCCATCTTGTCAGGAAAGTAGACTTACCACATGTGTAACTTCTAGGCTCAACTACAGTGTTTGAATCCTTCCCTAGGTGCCAGCATTACAGAATTCCAGCCCTCCCTCCAGTATGCCTTGTAACACAGTACAACTTAAACTGAATGGATCAAAGAGACACCAATGGACCCGTATTCACCTCACTATCCCTATCTCCCTTAAAACCCTTTTCAGTATTTTTGAACTATTTCTATCTTCAGCTTCTCCACAGCTCTAAAAGTGTACTTTGAAATTATAGTTAAATGTATTTTAAACTGCCAGAAGTAGTACATATTAACAAAGGTAACAACAACTTTTTTTTTTTGAGTATTTATTTCCCATTGTGTTACTTTCCTTCACTCTTTGGTTTTGGTGCTTTAATTCCCTTTCCTTCTTTAATTACATTCTTGCATTTTATTTTCAGGGAATGTTGCAGGAAGGCAGGATTTAAGACTCAAACGTAGAGCCACAGAAGCCCATAATTACATTCTCCCTAATACAAATGGAGCCAAGTTTTCTCTTGAAAGCAAAATTTTTAGAATAATAGCCAAACTATTCTACAATCAGATGCCAAAAGTAAAATTCTTACTAACTCAAATAGAGGCAGGTTTTCATCTGGAAAGCAAATACTTTAGAACAATAGCCAAACTACAATTTTTTAAATTTTAAATAAATTAGTGTATTACTGATGCACTTCAGGTGTAGCAAGGATACACAGTAAGAAAAGTAAATGTGTAATAAAGCAGTGGGTTTTCCTTTAATATCATACTCATGCCCTCCAAAAGTCAGTTGCTCAACTCTACTTTTGAAGTCAGCTCTGAACATAGAGCAGAGCTTTTATTAAATACATGTTTGTAAAGTTGAAGCTGCATTTGTTATAAGACTGAAGATTCACAGAACAGATCTGGGGGCTTGCCTGTAGTTAATGGAAGGTGTTTTCAACAAGAGATGTACAGCATGTAAGCACATACAAACATTCACCTCTGCATATTCTCACCAGAAATAAATTTGAGATTTTAAGTGGGGCATATTATTGGGGGATGGGAAGCTCAAGAGCGAGAACACCAATAACCAGACCAAAGAGAATAATCCTGCCTTGGACAAAGTCTTTTCCACCTCCAGACTTTATCATACAACTACTGTCAGATTTGCTGCCAGTATGAAAAAGAGACAAAGGAAAATGCTTGTTTGCTTTTCAGCCAGAGAATACAAAGTATGTGTGGTTTAATACAGTCCTTTTTCAAAAGGCTCCCTGTGTTTCTGAAACATTAACAGGGATTTAGAGGAGTTCTCACACGTTCAAATATCAGCTGGTTTTATTTGTCTATAGCCCGCATGTTTTGCTCTCAGAGGCTGAGAATCAGTTGGGTTTGAAACACGTTTTGCTCCTTTTTAGTAAATGTAACACAAAGGTATCAAGGGGCTATCCATTTATTCCATATTGGCATTGGATTTTTACCCATATTTTCTTTGAACAAGTACTCCATGTGTTTTCTATAAACTATAATTCTTTGCAATAAAATTTCGCCATTTTCCTTGTTATTCTTGAAGCTCCAATGGCTTATCTTTACATGGATCTTTCATCCTCACCAGTGTGGAAGAGACAGCTTAAGTCCAGTTTTAAAATCATGCCGGGCTTTTAATTCATTCTATTGTATCAGTGTCTCTTCCATTCTCACTACTCAGACAAGAGATTTTGACCACGCCAGTAAACTGAAATCCCACTTTTTGGTTCCTAATGGACTCTCTAGCACTCTGTTTCATAGGAGTGTGTCTCTGCCCTCTCATCAGCCTCAGCTCTTGCCCAGCCGGGGAAACCTCGTCGATAATCCCCCGCTGCCACTGACTGTGCGTTAAGCAGCCCTTGCCCGGCCGCCTCGCCGCACCTGCAGCCGAAGCCCACCCAGCCGCATCCCTCGTCCCGACGGAGCCGCGGTGCCCGCGGGGGGCTGCTCACCACCGCCCGGCCCCTGCCGGCCCCCGGGCTCCCCCCGGGCGGGGCCGCGCACCCCCCGCACCCCCCGCACCCCCCGCACCCCCGGCCCTCCCCGGCGGGCGGGCGGGCGGGCGCCTCCCCGCCCAGCCCCGTCCCCGTCCCGTCCCCATCCCCATCCCCATCCCCATCCCCGTGCCCAGGCGCGGCGGGGCGGCGGCCGACGGGCGTCCTCCCCCGGCTTCTGCCCTCGCTGCTGGCCGCCAGCGGCACCTCCGAGCGCCCCGCTGCTCCCCGCTCCGGCCCCGGCTTTGTGTGCGCGGCACCAGCCGCACCTGGGGCGGGCGCGGCGGCGGTGCCGGGGGTGGCGGTGCCGGGGGTGGCTGTGCCGGGGGTGGCTGTGCCGGGGGTGGCTGTGCCGGCGGTGCCGGCGCGGCCCCGCACGATGCCGCTCCGCGGGCTCCTGCCCCTTTGTCTGCTCTGCCTCCAGGCTGCGCTACCGCTCCGCGGCCACCGCGGCCGCTACGCCGGGTAAGTCCGCCCGCGCCCCGCTCCGCCCGCCGCGCAGCTCCGCGGCCGCGCTCCCTCCGCACCGCTGGCCGGAGCCGGCTGGGTCCGCGTGTTCGGGCGCCCCTCCCGCCGCCGACCCGCTCGGGAGTTTGTTTGCTGGCAGTTGTAGCATGTAGCTCGTAAAAAAGGTGCCGCGAGTCTCTGCTAGCTAAAGGAAGGACGCTGCGCTGGGGAAAAGTTTGAGTGTCCGCGTGGAAAAGGGAACTGCGATTATACAGGGGGGAAATACACGGTTTTGAGGTTCTACCGTGCTCTGAAATGAATGAAGATCTGTATTTCCCTTAGGATACAATTATACAGGAACCTAAAATTGTTTCTAAAATGTTGTACACTGTGCGCTCATATTAGGGAATGCATACATAAGAAGTTCAAGCAATAAAGGAACTCTACTGTCAGCAAGTGGAGACTAAAACTTTCACGTGCATTTCAAACTAGACTTTTCTTTTTGTTCCAACGGCAGTTCAAATTTGTGTTACAAAGGGAAAGATTGAACTAAGCAGTAGTAAAAAGTGAACTTGCTTCCAAAGTGTATGTTCTTTGACCCACTAAAGACTTTGTTTTTAGTAAGTATTTAACATAATATGTTTATGATACAAATGAAAAGGCAGGCAAATATAGGAGCATTAGAAGCCCGTGGCATGTGTCAATGTACAATATAAAAATCTTTCAAAGTGACCAGCAAATTCATCAGGATATGCACACCTCTCTGTGGAAGTAAGAGCTGTATTATTCTTTTTATTTTGTTGGAGTAGCCAAGCCAAGCATAGAGATTCCCCTTCTAAAATGAAGTTTAAAAAAACATTCCCTAAGCTTCAAGGATTTGGTAATGTGATATGAAGCCATTCACCCCTGAGTCACTATTAGTGATAGAAAATAGTTAAACACTTGACAGCTGTCTTGCCATCTCTGTTCAGTTGCTCACGCTCCAGTATCTGTCTGCCCTGTGAAATCAAACAGACCACCACAGTCAGGAATGCTCCTGACAGTGCCAAAAAGCAGCAGGACAGAAAACTAAACTGTTCTTTAAAGCCAGGGTCCCGCTGTAGGTTTTGTGCAACAGCTCTGTTCTCTCTGTCTGGAGCCCATAGCACAGGCATGGTCTCCATGGTCTTGAATTTAAATTCAAGATAGCATTTAGCTTGTTTCCAGATGACATGGAGATGAATAGCACATTGTCATTGCTGGTGCTTAAATTTTTCTGAACATTAATCACATAAGTTATCTACTAATTTTGACTAAATGTCAAAATACACATTTTACTATCCTCTAAGTTTAAGTGACATCATCAACTATAATCAAGTTGGTTCAAATAGAATAACATGAATAAAAATTCATGTTATTCTATTTGATTTAGAGTAGTTCTCACACATTCAAATGTCAGTTGGTTTTATTTGTAACTCATTAATGTAACTCAAAAATTTTGTTCAAAGTTTTAAAAATAATTTTCTTGTTTCAGAATTTCATATTCCCAAGGTGACATGTGAAAGACCCATCCAAATTCTCCTTAGCTGATCTTTGTTTTAGAAGCTTTTGCATAGACTCTACTCCAAAAAAATGAGACTTCTCATCAGCTTCCAAAAGTTGGACAAGAAAATCACTGGCCCAAATTTAAAAAAAAAAAAAAAAATCAACTACAGTTAATTACAAGACCTCTTAGTCAATAGGCAATTGTAGTAGGGGGCCAAGATACATTTACAAGCTTTGCTGAAAATGTGGTCAATATTTGAAACAGAAACCAGAATGTGTACCACATGTGTAACACAAACTGGAAAAACAAGCTAATATTTTTTCTACTTTACTAATATTTTCCCCCTTCTACTAATATTTTCCATTTCTACTATCCTGGCATTATTTGTGTCAATAAAAGATGATGGAAAGTTAATTTGAAATGGCATGGAGGTTTCTACAGAATTACAAATATATCTTGTCCATCTGTCATCATCACAGTGTCCTGGGCAGGATCATTTAAATTCTTCTCTGTGTGCCATTGATTAGAAACAGTTGAGCAAGAATTGCCATTACTACTGAACCTGACTGTCACTCAAAGGGAAAAAATTTGGTAAAGTTTTTTGAGAAAGCAAATTAGGAGGTGAATAGTTTGCTAATGTTCACCATGAAAAGGGGTGTCCTATCAAACTGACTTCTTTTTGTGCCAAGAAACATCTGTGAATCCTAGTAATTTCTATTGTGTGAGAAGCTGTACCATAAAGGGAAAAGGCATTAGCATAATTAGGGCAAAAGAATGAAAAGGGAAAAAAAAAAGCAATGGAAACATTTCTCTTAAACTTAGGTCAGCACTTGGAGGCACACATAATTGTAACCCTTTAGCTGAGGACTCAAACCCAAGACAATGAACTAACTGGAAGTGCACATTTCTCCAAACTATGGCAAGCAGGCCAAGTATGCCACATGGACACATCTTTAAGAAAATGTGTTCTAGATACCTTTGGGAAGTCAGCAAATATTTAGGGAGACTCGGCAAAGAGGGAGAAGCACTCAGAGCTCTTGGAAAGGCTGAGGGACAGTTGTATTTGCCTTCTGCCTCACACAATACGCATGAGTTCAGCCTGAAGGAACTCAAGAGGAGCTCTCTAGAAGGCACTGCTAATCAGCCACCCAACAGCAAATTCAAAACTGTACTCACACTATACATTTTTTTCCTTCCTGCATTTGTATGTTCTGTCCAAAGACTCCAGGGGAAGTCGATAAGCGGGAGACAAACTCACACATCAGGGCTTGGATAGATTAGATGTGGAATATTCAAGGAGATTTTTCAGGAGGCAATTACAAGAAGTTCACACAGGAGCAGTAAGGATAACCAAATACATGGGAATGGTTCAAGTTCCTGAAATAACCAAGCAAATTAAAACTCTTTGGTCTCCAGTGGAAACAATTTAGGCCTTCAGAGATGTCTAAAAACTTTGAGTCACGTGGACCTAGTAGACAGAGATTAGTTATTCACTGTTTCTTCCAGTTACAGGAAGCAGGAGACGTAAAATTAATCTAGTAGGAACCTTTTGATAGCTTTACAGAGAAGTTTGCTGGAGCAGATGGAGTTTTGTGAGGGCTTTTTACCAAATGAACCAATCTTCCTACTCTTTGGAATCGTATGAAGAAGGAGATTCCCATTATCAGGTCAAGATTTCTTAGAGTAGAAAATATCTCTCTCATTTGTTCTTTAAAAATCACTACTATGATCTTTTTACTTCAGTTCATCTACCTCCACCTGTGCATGGTGGCTCAGCATGTAGCCTCTGATTTCTCCCCCACTTTTTGTTCTTCCAAAGCCCTTTCAGAAGTGTTCCTCATCTGGCCTCTTCTCTGACTTGCAGATTACCAAGCACAGGCAAAGGCTGAAATAACTTGTCCAGTTTTCCTCTAAGGTTTTTGTTGCAAGATTTGGGTCTTTTTAAATATTGGATCAAAATGATAACTCCTCCAAAATGTTATCCTTCAGACCCACTGAAGACCCAGAACTGCAGATAATTATAATTTCTCTTGGTCAGATAAAGGTTATGGTACATGCTTACTATGTAACAACCACATAAAATAACCTGGGAGTCATGTGGAGCTGGAAACAGAGAACAGTAAAGAAGTGTTCTATAATCCAAGATGCAATGTGCTGTAGCTATTGGGACATGACATCCAGAAAACTGTATAAACCAACTGTTCATGTAGAGGACAGATATAAAATCTGAGAGCATTCAGCAAATTTCAGGTATTTTAATGCCCATTAATACCCCTGCATACCATAACTAAGTACCTCTGATCCCACGGTACCTTACTCACAATGGCTGGCAATTGTTCTGTCTCATGGAAAAAACACATGGGAGTGTAGCAAAAATTAGTTGCTGAGGGAATTGAGAAGTGAAAAGGAACTCCTCCTGTGCTATTCCCTCTGCAGATTTTTTCCAAATGTTTTAATCAGAGACTAAAAGCTCTGTTATTTAAAACAAGTTCTTTCTCCCTGGTGCTCAACTCTCCCTCCCCACCCCCAAGTAAAAATAAAATGTCATGAACACAACTGGCAAAAAAAGCATTTGGAAAGCACACCAACAGCATGAGAGGGAAGGTAATTATATTCATTCAGATTAAAACCAAACTTAGTGCTTCTCTGGATGTTGTCAGGGAGCTTCTAAGAGGCGAAAATAATTTAAGTATTTTTTTCTTAAAATAACCAATAATTCTGTAATCAAACACCACTAATTCTTAAAACCAGCACAGATCAGTGAAATTCACAACAGCTTTGGGACCACTTACCAATTCTTGTTCCAACACCTCAGCTCTAATGATGTGCTTTCTCATTACCTGATATTCCCCTGCACAATATTTATGTCATCCTATAGGAAAAAATCAATTTTTGATTATTTTTCTCCTTTATGTCCAAGCATGATAAATTTACCTTTTAAAGTTTTTTTGCTCTCCTCATTATAAGTGAAAAATACAAAGTGTTTCAGTTGCTCTTTCTTTCCCACTTTAAATTTCTTTTTCAAAATAATTGGAAGAGTACACACACCCTCCCTACATAGGTAAAGTGCATGCCAGCCAAGGAGGTTCCCAGTTTATTATGGCTGTGTCTAAACTGATAAACAGGCACATGTCACCATGTGAGCCTGGTTCCCATACTTATCCAAACTGGGACACCATTGCCTGGTGCTGTGGCTTCTGACCTTTGCAGCTGGAGAAGATGGGGGGGAACAAGCATGGAAAGGAAGGTAAGATATAAAATATCAAGACATGGGCAAAGCTTGCACCCATACTAAGGAGCTTTGAACCTGACCTAGGTTTCCTACCTTATATGCAACCTATGGCCTTTCAGTAAGAATTATTCTTTTGGAAGTGTAAAAGAAATTCCAATAAACACACTTTCCTCATTTTTAGAAGTGAGTATGTTACAAATGGGAATGTAGTCTATTATTAAAGAAAATTCATGTTCAGGGTAGCATCCAGCAATTATTTTC